GGCACGGAGCAGGAGCTGTGCTGGCAGCACCTGCAAGGCAGCACAGGGTGCCTGTGAAGATTACCTGGGGATATTTCCGTGCCTGGGTTAGAGGCTGGTGCTCTCCACAGCATCAGTGCATTCCAAAAGGTCTGTGTTTTGGCATTTAGATTAATGCTGGAGACAGGGAGGAAGAAGTTGCCATGTCTCACACCGACTCCCTCCTCTCTGTCTGAGCAAATGAAAGATGACAGAGTGCAACTCCCACTCGGAAATGCTTTCCAGTGCTCGAGCAGACCCAGGTCCGACTCCAGCTCCCATGACAAGTCAACTTGCTTTATAAACCTGGGCTAGTGCTTTCGTTACCCTGGGAACAGCCAGTGGCACAGGCTCCTGCCCTCAGCTAAAACACATCCTCTAAGAAACACCTTGATGAGAAGGGAGAGGCTTCTGGCCACGCTGGTCACCAGATACATGCAGAAGGCTGAGAGCCAAGGACAGAGGATGCTGTTCCCTGTGCCCCAGCATTTCCCAAGAGCAGCAGGGACTGCTGCTGTTCCCCCTGAACTCAGCAAGACCTTCAGAGAGCCCCTGAGGGCAAGCAGTGCCCACCTGCCCAAGGCAGGAGGAGCCCAGTCCACTCCCCCCTTGCAGACAAAGCTGGAGGCAGTGAGCAGCGAGTAAAGTGACTGCTGCCCTAACCTTGGGGACACACACTGGAGTCTCCTCAGCAGCCTCATTCTGTGTTCCTGTCCCATCAGCTTCAGGAACCAGGTGATCACTTCATCAACAGCAAGCAATGGATGAAGTACAGACATGAAGGTTACACCAGCTCTGGAGCCTGGTGGACACTGGCAGGGGCTGGGGAGCCTGTGACAGCCCATAAACCCCACCACCAACCCCAGTGCAGGCAGGTCCTTTCAGAAGAGGTGACCATCTTTGACTTCCCAAGGGACATTTACTTCAGAGCACAAGAACAAAGTTTCAAAAGCAGAGCAGTGCTGGTTTTCTTTTAAACAGGTATTTCAAATTCATAGCAGTGTAAAGAGAGAGGAACACAAAGACCAGGAAAGATTCACAGACTGGTGGATCTGCCCAAGAGAACCAAGAAATGGTGGGAAAAGACCAGTCAAATAAATGCCTGATGAATGCAAAGACCTCAGTAGCTGAGCAGGTGGCCAGCTCCCAGCTCTGCTGCTCCTCTCTGCACACCTCTCTCTCTCTGGCCCATGGGAGGGTATTAGCTGGGTGAATCCCAGCTGGAATCTGCTCTGAGAGTCAGGCGTGACAACAGCACATGGTGACACCATGTCACAAACCAAGCAGCCACAGGCAGCACCAGGCTCTCCATAGCCACAAGTTCCTCCAGCTCCTGACGTTGCAGGAGGGGTCTGGATCCAGCCACATCCTCCTTGCCCCAAAGGCTGTTCTCCCCCATGCCCAGGGGTTCTACCCTGGCCCAGCAGGTGAAGCTGGGGGGGAATGGGGCTGGCCCAGCACCTTGCACGGGTCTCCAGCCCCACTGATAAGCCTACAGGGAGGGACAGGAATGTTGCTGCCTGGAGACGCCTCATTGCACAGATGTGTCTGTGTCTGCGCAAGAGAGAAACTTTCACAGTTTTACTGCTTTTCAAATATTTTAATGCAAGCCATTTGGTGTCATATTTTTAAAAAATGGGTACCAGCACAAGCTACATGCACATTAGCAACTGTCTCTCTATTAGTGTAAATACAAGAAGCAGAAAAGCACAGTCTGACTCCTAATCCATATGGTTATTCCAAATAGATTGCATGGTCTTAAACTTTGGCTTATTAGATTGAATCTTACATATGGAAAGAATTAAAATGCTGGATTTACAGTGCAGGCTAATCAGAACATGTTTAAATAACGATGCCCCAGCAGCCCCAGAGGGTCACAGCCTCCCAGACACCTGGTGGAGAGGCTGATCCCACTCCCACAGCAAGAACCTCCCCAAAGCCTGGCGTTGCAAGAGCTGCACCGTGGCTCAGGGCAGGGCAGGATCCAGCCTCCAGCACTCCAACAGAGCAGGCTGCAAGGAGGAAATACCTCATTTCCCACCGACTAGTCCATACAAGCACAGACAATAGGGCCAAGTGTGCGCTGCCGGCAGCACTCCCGCGTTGGAGGGCTGGCCAGCAAGGTCTGCTCTGCCCTGACTCTTCCTATCTGAAAAAGCCATCAGCCTGCCTGCTCCTTCGCTTAGAATGAAAGGTCACTTCAGGCCTATCTGAAAAAGCCATCAGCCTGCCTGCTCCTTCGCTTAGAATGAAAGGTCACTTCAGGGCTTTTAGGGTGGTTTTTTTTTCAAACAAAAGAATTATCTCGATTTAAAAAAAAAAAAAACTTTGCTCCGAGATCACAAATGCAATTAAAAGCAAAGCATGGTATCATTGTTACCAAAGCCAGAACTCACAGGAAGGTGGATATACGTTACTTACTTCTGCTAATTCATTTCTGGACAAGGCCAGACTCATCTTGGGTGCTTCAATACTTGCATGTCCACCACCACAGATCTGAACATATTCCCCCACCAGAGAGTCTTCTTCCAGCAGCCCAAGCCTCTCCCCTTTTATTCCACTGATGTTGTTTCCATCTGAGTCCCAAGCCTCTCCCCTTTTATTCCACTGATGTTGTTTCCATCTGAGTCAGTTGCTTTTTTATTGCTCCTCTAAATACAGCTTTCTCCAAAGCTGCTGAATTTCTAGACTTGGAAGCATGACAGAAGAATGCACTGATTCACCCCCCTCCTCATGGCTGGCTGACACCTCCTCTGGAGCCGACACACCGCAGGGAGGGTGACCAGTGTGAACCAGTATGAATCCAGCAAAGGAGACGTGGTCTGGGGAACTGGAACTCAGCCATGTCTCCAGCCATCCTGGACTCTCTGATCTGCCTCTCTGCTGAGCCAGATGACAAACCCCAAACCTGGTCCCACACCAGCCCCAGGGCTGGTCCTGTATTGTGCTGCACCACCCAAGCTTCAGTCTGTGTGCTGGAGTTAATGCCAACCACAGGAGTCCAGCCACCTCAGCTCCACCCCAGACTCAATAACACAGGTCAAAAATGCTTCTTGTCCTGGGAGTTCATCAGAGGCTGTGTAGAGCAGAAGGGATGAGGGTTTCAAAAGCACAGCCAGCCCCTTAATGACTATGTCAAGTGGAAGTCAGTTATTAGTCTCTTTACCTGCCAGAAAACACCAGCAACAGGTACCCAAGTGTTTAGTGTCTCCTCGTCTCCCTGGTGCTGGGAAGTGTGCCACACGCTGAAGGGCACCCCATGGCCAGGGTGGACGAGGAGCAGCATCACAGCCCCAACCCACACCTGCTCCCTCCTCCTCTTCAGCCCTGGCCACAGCAAGCCCCAGAGCCCAGAATGGTTTCCCCATAGTCCATACTGCCAGCTACACAGGAACACCTTATCTGTGCTGAAACCATCATCAGATTCTGCTGTCAAAAGATGCAGAGGAATTTGGAAAGGCCACAAATGAATGACCCCGTTCAAACCATCCCCTTGGTAGTGAGAGCAGTTCTGCATAAACACACTGCACTAACTGTGGCTTAACATGGTCTTCCTCTCTCCAGCCTCTCATTACTGAGGATCAGGAAAAGAGAAGGAGCATATGATCTTTTTGGTTTTTAAGGAAATTATTAAATTTGGCTCAACTTTTCATCTTTCCCACAAAAAGGTGCTCTGTCATCTCGTGCCTGTTCACCTACACAAAGACGAGATGACATCTCTGGCTAAAGGCCGACAGTTCTGCACCTCCTTGTCACTTTTAACAAGAAAATAATCCTGCAGAAACACTTGAAAAACAAATCGGTGTTGACACTCCTCATCTGCTAGGTACACTTTACAAAAGGAAAGAAATACTGCATTAGCGTTTGACCTCTTCACCTTTCCGACATTGGAAGAAAATAGAGAGAGAAGGCTCAGAAAAGCTGATGCTGAAGTAGGAATGTCAGGAGAGCAGGCAGAGCTCCAGGCTGGAGCCCCCAGCCCAGCAGGCAGCGCAGGGCTGAGTCAGCCCAGGCAGAAGGGAGCTGTGAGCATCAAGGAAGCTGTGAGGGGCACACAGGAGTCCCAGGGATGGGTGAAAAGATGCTTCTGCAGATGAGGGCGTGAGGATTTAAAGAGACACCATCACCAGAAAGCTTCTCAGCCCAGTGAAGTCCCGGGACTCTGCCCTTGGGGTGCAGTCAGTCCCTCCACATGTGTGAGACAACATCCTCCTGCCTGTCTTCTCTCTCCCCCATGGCAGCCCTGTTCCAGTTCCATCCTTGCACCATTACATGGCTGTGTAGTGCTGAGTGGCCCCTTGCACTCACAAGATTGAGCATTGTCCCACTCTAAATGCTCCTGAGCCTCACAGCACACTTCCAGCTCCTGACCTCTGCAGCCTGCAGGCAGGAACGAGAGGGTTTCCTCGGCTCCCAGCACTGTCAGCTGCTTCCTTCATTCTGGGCACGGTGGATTTCACCAAATAAGTCATGCTAACCCCACCTCCTCTTCCCTGAGCAGAGGCTACCAAGAAATAAAACTGAGCTTTGTCTTCTGAACAGCCAGACACTCTCCATGAGAACGCTCCCAGCACAGGCAGCTTGCCCTTTGGACACGACACTCGGGTGACTTTCCACGTACGCAGGCACCAGATGGTCTCAGTGCTCCCCCAGCGTGGCTGGGCACGGCTCTGCTGCTGCCTCGCCGGGCACAAGTCCTTGCCTGTAGGAGGTGGGGGCACTTCGAGGAACTCACAGAAATATTTTCCCACCGGTAGCTGTCGGCCTGAGCTAATGCGACATGACACGTATCTCACTATGAACAATGTGCTGACATTCAGAGCCGGCTCACCATGTTCCCAACCGCCCCACTGTCACCACAGCGAGATCACAGGCAGGGGCACACATTTCTCCCCTGAGCTTGTTCTGAGCACCCCTGTGAGGTGCCGTGGAAGGCCCGGCAATCCCTGCTCAAGACAGCTTTGTAACAGGTAGCACGGTACCGTGGTAATGTCAGCTGGAACAGGAGGACAGGGAGAGAGGCAGCACTGCTTGAACAAGGAGTCTCCTGGAAAGCCACTCTCATTAAGTGCGCAGGCACAGCAGCAGCTTCACATCCTGCAAAGATGGTCCTGGACTCTGCCACATCTCTGTAAAAGGTGCAGCTACACACAGGAGCAGGAGTCAGACATGAGTGCCAACTGTTCGCAGCCTAAAGACAGCCCTTCCACCAACAGCGCCGTGTGAGAAAGGGCTCTGCTACCTGTCCCTGCAACACCCACAGGAAAGTGGATGGGAAGTTCCTGGGACAGATCACCTCCAGGCTGCAGGTGGGGAAATGCAGGGAGCATGACAGAGCACGGTTTGTGTGCCGAAACCCTGACACCCGCCCGTGCCCTGCTTACACAACAGCATTACACAACACGGCACTTCCGTGGATTGCATAAGGCCAGGACTGGCACACCCGAAACCCCAGAGATGGCGACGTGCTGGGACAGCAAACCCATCACTGGTCACCCAAAAGCACATTCCCACCATGCTGCCTCCCCACTGGCCCTTCCAGGCCACTCCTGAGAGGAGGCAGCCCAGCACAATGACAAGAAGCAGCATGACATGATACCAGGAGGCAAGAGAAGGAGCTATTTCACCATGTCCTGGGAAGAAGCTGATTTGACCCCAAATCACAGGACCTGGAGAGCTCTTTCCTGCTTCACAAAGAAATTGTTGTAACTTTTGTAGAATTTAAAATAAATTTTGTTAGAAATCATCCAGGGCCAGCCCAGCACAAGGGACAAGCAGCAGTTCCACACACCTGCAGGTTTCAGCTGGGTGACAAAGGCAGCACCGTGGTCATCAGCAGTTTGTAGCTTCTATCCCAAACTGTTGCAGTAAGGAACAGCACTGCCAGGTGCTGCCATACAGCAGGTGTGAACTCCTGGTCTCTGTTTCAAAAAATCCATCCAGTACATCCCAGTGTGTGAAAAACAAAGCATCTACCCCACCCCACACAGCACAGAGAAGGCTGTTAGGAAGGATGAGGCTTGGGGCTCTCCCTTGCCACAAAAGTTTCCATTTTCTGCACCCAAGCCAGATGCCTGCAGCCTGAGCAAGGATTTACAACAGCATAAGCTTCAGAGTCCCTCTGCTTCTCAAGGAAGTATCAGGAAATAAAAGGGCAATTGCATTAGTCAGTCATGAGGAGTTCAGGGTTTCTGCTTGGTTTCAATGACAGCAGGTAAAAAAAATTGCTCAGCTGCCTGACTGCAGCCAGCAGCCCTGCAGGAGGCCAGACACGGCCCTTCCACACACCACACCACCAAAGCCTCTGCTCAGTGCCAGGACAAAGCTCAGGTCATCCAGGGTCTCCCTCACCCAGCCCAGCAGAGCAGGTCCCAGCAGGAGCTGCTGTCTCAGCCTGAGCTCTGCTCTGCTCCAGCAGCTATTGCCTGTGCAGGGGGTCTATGGAAATGCAATGCCTGGAGCTTCTGAGCATCCCTGTGAGGTCCTCCCAGCTCGTGGGCTGGTGTGGAGCATTTAATCTCTATTGAAAGTCCCACCAAGATGAGATCTGCCTCTTCCACAGCTGCATCCCACCAGCACCCTCCAATCACCTAGGGACACCAGCCCCTGCTCTCCATGGGCCCTGCAGCCACATTCTCAGCCGTGGCAGAAGCACCATCAGCAAGGTCACAGACATCCCCACCCATCTGTTACCTCACAGTCTGCTCAGTGGGAAGGCCACCACATCTGTGGGAATGCTTTTCAAGGTTACATTATGACCAAATTCGAGTTTTGTCGCAACATAACTAAGCAAATACCGCTATCCAGATATGAAACTCATCCTTGGAAACCCCACTAACATCCTCCTTCTTCCCCTTCACACAGCTCCTGGCTGGTGACCACACAGCCAGTTTCACCCACAGTGAAACCCCAATAACTGGTTTCTTCCCTCATGTAACAACTCCTAAAAGGCCACTGCAAATCCTTTCAACAAAAGCTGAGGTAGCCAAATCCAGCTTCTACTAGCCTCTTTCCCTCTCCTCCCCCCAGATACAAATTTTATACTTCGAGCTACTAAAGTTGGCTGAAAATAATGATAACTGACAGATGCTGGGTTAAATAGGCCACAGTCTTTCCCTCAGGCCTAATTTAGACCGGATATCAAAATGATACAAAATATCATTGCTTGCCTTCACTCCATCAGGACATTTGTAGACAGACCGATATTAACTCCTTCCTGGGAACACTGTGTTTGCACCATCACCTTGCAAGGAAAAGCATGTTCCACCTGATCTCCTCCTGCCCTGGATCCCATGCTCCAGGACTGGCTCCTCAGCAAAGTCTCTTTAGTTCCAGACCAGCTTAGTGCCAGGTGTTGGGCAAGTCACACCAGCCCGAGTTTCTGTCCCTTGTGGCACAGCAGCCTCAAACCATAATCCTGCAGCATGTGGGGCAACAGGAGCCCCACAGCAGCTTGGACACGTGGCTTGCACCACTCAGGACAGGTAATTAAAAGCTGTATTCTAATGAATATGCACAAGGGGGCAGAGTCAGAGTTGTGCACTTGAGGTAAAGTTATGCATATTTTAATTTTTCAACACTTGGCAGTGCAGTCCCACTTCATTCACTTGACCTCCTGCATCCCCTTTCCTTGCAGGCTTGTTGGGTTTTTTCTCTTCAAAGGAAAAGGAAACGACACAAAAGAGTCTCCTTTGCCTCCATCAAGCACTCAGGGTAAAGCCCACGAGCAATCCCAAACCCCAGATGGGGTGCATGCCACATCCTCACTGGCACCTCCCTGTACCTGAGACGATGGATCCATCCCCTGGCAAGACTGAAATGTCTAAGTAGCAAGTCTCATTTTCAGTTGCTCATAAATTTACCAAGGGTTAACTGATCAGCCCTAATTTTCCTTGGCAAATACATCAGCTGGACTGGATATATTGATTTGAAGATTTAATTCAGAATTTCTTGGTTATTTCTGAGAAATATTTCTGATGTATACTCTCCATCTCTCCCACTCTCTTCGCTTTAGAGGGCAAAGGCACATTCCATGTTCTGAAAAAAACATGAGTTTGATTTACAGAGTTACGCTGTCACATAGTTACTGCACTAAACAATGAGCAGTGAAAGCAGCAGCATTACAGCCACCTCCACTCGAAACCTGTCCACAGCTGGCTGCAGCTACAGTACTCAAAGCTCTCCATCTCTGAGGGCTCAGAGCTCCCGAGACCTCAAAAAAAAATGCACAGAGCAGGCCAAGGCTGAAGAAAACACAGATGGTTCTTTAAAGTGAAGTTGAATTCAAAGAAAATCAGTTCAATAGTTTAGTTATAAATGTTAAACTTAGGAAGGGGATCATTTGTGCTCCCACAGACTCATAAAACTGTACTAAACATTAAGTACTTTGCTAAAATGACATTATTTCCAAGTCCCAAATCCAGCATTCAGAAGTTAGGAATGCCTCTGCAACCTGCATTCGACCTTGTTTCCTTCAATTGCGACAGACTTGGGTTGCACTGGTTTCCCTCCGAGAGGCCGAGTGCAGGCAGGAGCTGGAGCTGCTCTGTGAACAAACTGAAAATGCCAAGTGGTGGACACTGATGCCATCAAAATTCAGCTTTGCCTGCTGGAGCTGTAAAGTGTGGGAATAGGAGACAAAAATGGCTAAGGGAAGCCCCTGTGCTCTCACTGAGCTCTGCCCTCACTGAGCTGTGCTTGCTGTACTCGTCACTGGCAGATCCTGCGCTGCCCAGGCTCTGCTGCAAGGCTCCAGACCCGGTGGGGCTGGAGAGGGGATTGCAACAGGCTGGCAGCCCCTAGAGCCAGGGAAGCAGCCTGCTGCCCACATGGCTTCACTGGATGGCTGTGTTGTGGTCCTGCAACTCTCCCCAACCCTGCCTTGGGCTGGATGAGTTCTGCTGCACGCTGGGGCTGTGGGAAAGGGAACAGGGCCATGGGGAAGGGCACAGGGCTGTGGGGCACAGGCTGAGCTGGGCAGCACGGGCAGGAGCAGCTGCACTCGTGTGCCAGTGAATTGTGCATTTAACTGGACACTGAACACAGCTGACCTGTCAGCGTGTCAGCACGGGGACTCCTAATCCGAGTCTGTGTCACGGACAGCCAACGGCCTCGACATAATTGCAGAGAGGCACAAGCTCATGGCCTGGCAGCAGAGATGCTGCTACTGATCTGACACATGGAGCAGGGCAAGGCAGCAGCACCCAGCATCAGAATCTCCGACCTGCTGCACAGCACAGCCCATGGAGCTGCTCCTCACCAGCCTGCAGCACCCCAGCAGAGCCCAGCCATTGCTATCATCAAGCTCTCCCTCCTTCAGAGAGCAGGGAAAACACAGGGATACCACAGGAAAGGGATTCCCTCAGCCTGTGGGCAGCTAAGAAGCGTTTATACGTGTGTGTGGTACCTGCCACTCTGCCACACTGAGATGTCAGGTTAAAGGGCCAAAGCATGTCAGAGCCCCCAGCAGCAGCCGTGGTGGTTTTACTCACATCATCAACAAATTAAACTTTGAGGTTTGGAAAAGGCAATGGCAACAGCTGTTTCCTGGCATTGCACCTTTCCTGGATCACACCTTTCCCCCATGACAGTGTAAAAGGTAGGAGACCAGCATCACCTCTGCTCCTGCAGAGACACACAGCCCTCTGACATCACATGGGAAACACTTCTTGGGCACAGCTGCAATGGTGGGGAGAGGCAAGAGAACAGCGCCCCAGGTTTCCCAGATTTATACAAATAGTTGCTGGGATTCCCAGCATCCACAAGCAGGAAGACAGTTTGCTATATTATTTCCCAAATGACAAACCAAATTTTCTGGAAGCTCTGTGAACTGCAGGCAGTTATTAACAGGGTGCTGGTCCTGCTTCTCAGCCCTGCACCACAGGGTTTGACCAGGGCATGCTGAATGGCCAGCACAGAGCTGGGAGACAGCCCAGAGTCCCCAAGGGCATCTCTGCCAAGCACATTCCCAGCAGGAGAGCCTGAGGCCTGGATCTCTTCCCCTACCTGGTGAGGCAGAGGCTCAGGCTGCTCTAGGGACACAAGGAATAAATATCTCCTGCAAAATGAAGCTCTGCTCAGTGCGCAGCAGGATGTGCCACTGAGCTGACATCAACACCAGCCCTCTGTAGCACATCCATATGGCTGGCCAGCAGTGGGCATGTTCCTTCACTTCCATTTCCCTCAAGTTTTGATACTACACCAGGAGGTGCAGCAAAGCAGTTTAATGCCCAGTGTGATCATGAAGCCAGATCATGGTGAGAGGGCTTTCCCCTACAGCAGCCCAAGCAGCAATCAGACAGCATCACGCATTAGCCAGATTGTGCTAAGCTCAGTCCAGGCACAGATGTCTGAGCAAAACCTCTCACCTTGCTCCAGCCATGCCTCAAGGAGCACTCACAGGTATCCCCACGTGCCTCACACCTGCACACTCCCCTCAGAAACAAACCCAGGTCTGTCAGCAGAACCAAGCAAGGCAGTGGCTGTGAATGGCTGCTCCCCCTCCCCACCACTGTACCTGGGGTGCAGGCAGCCAGTATGGGCTGCACAGCTCAGGGGGGCTCCCATGGATGCCAGGGAACAGATCCCCCAAGGTCTAGAGGGGCACACCCAGACCATCCCTTGCTATCTGCTTCCACCCAGCCCCAGCCACACTCCACTGGGACTGAAGAGTCATCTCTTCTCCTGGCCAAGTAGTATCTCCTCTGTGAGCAGACAGAATAAGGCAACAAACTATTTCATTTTTACTATTTGTATTTGACCTTTTTATATTGTTTGCTTTTTCCAGCATAATCCCTTAAGAACACGACTGATGATTTATAACAAAAGAATATCTCTATAGTGGGTGCCTTGCAAGACCTCTCTCCCGCTGCTTTAGAGTGATTTACTTTTGGATTAGCCTCTGATAGAGAAGGGCTCGGCTGACGATTTGCCCTCGTATATCAAAAGGGAAATCCTTAAGACATCACTATAAAACAGCAGGAAAGAGCACCTGCCTGACTCATAAACTTATATGATGTGGTTTAGTCAGATAGGCCATCTGCTTCCCTTACATACCCATATGTCCTTCGCTGTTCCCCGCTACCTCACTGTTAACTTGGGTGATTTTCTCCTTCACTTCCGCAAAGCTAAAACAGAGAAATGAATCGAATGATAAACTTTCATGCAGATGGAAACAAGTGCAGTAGCCGCTGTCTCTGCCTTCTAGTTACACAATAAATAATGGCAGTGGAGGTGAGGAAACACATGTCTGCTCTTCATTAGAGCCATCGTATAAACTTAATGTGCCAAATCCTGCCCTGGCCTACACCCACATGGCTCAGCCAACTCGGGTGAAGAGAGGAAAGATCCACTCTTGTAGTGTGCCCTTTCCAACCTCCAGCTGTTCCCAACAGGAGCAGGCCATGGTCCCCAGCATGGCTGCGTTCCCATGCTGGAGCCTCTTCCCATGGGCGAGGGGTAGTTGTTCAGACAGGGCTGGCCTCAACCACCCCAATGTTTAGGGAAAAAGTACGAGAAACTGGAGATTACTCCCTTCCCTAGGACAGGAAAACACCTTCCATCCTCATGATTACCTGTTTAAGGATTGACTGAGCCAAACTGTGTATGAAACCTTCATCCCCAGGCTTTTGTCCCCTGAACTCACTCACGTCCCTTTTGAATCCATTTCTGTCTTAGCTTCTACATCAACCCATAACCATTAACTTCAGGGATGTATCTGAAAACCATCATATAAAAGGTACTCCAGCTTCAAAACTGCTGGCTAACTTCATTCCATACCCCCAGCTCTGGCCCTAGAAGAAAGCAATTAACTGTTTTCTAACAAACCTTTGCCTTCCACACATGACTGCACATGGCTGGCCAGCACTCCAGGGACCAGCCCAGCACTCCTTTCCCACAGAGACAGCCTGCTCTTCTAGCCTGCCTCGCACAGAAGTCCTTTCATGCCACCTTCTCCCCCTTTCAGCCTCTTTAGAGGTTTATTCTGCCTTTTTTCCAAGACAGGGCCTGACTAGCACATCACTTGCTATATCCAGAATGTGCTTTCAAAGACCACTAACTAACTTTGTGTGTTACACTGTGTGGAACACCACTGTCCCTTTACTCCTCTCGTGAGGAGAAAACCAATAGATCCTGGTCCCAGCACAATCCCAAGGAAAATGCCAGCATGCTGGCCCAGGGAAGTGCAAAGTGCCATGCATGGAGGCAGAGCAAGGCACAGGCACTCATTCTGCAATGAGAGCATGTCTGCATCCCCCAGCCTGGGCATGCTGCTGCAGTGCAGGGAGAGGGGGGCTCACACCAGCCCTGGGGCACAGGGAAATCAGCCTCCCTGCAGCTCAGGGGAAAAGAAAACCTCCTGTAATTTACGTCCTTTTTTAATGTTTGTCTTGCTTTTTAATTTCCCAAAATCGAGTCCCTGGGAGTTCATTTTTTTCCTCTGCAATAGAGTAAGGCAAGCAGAGGTTTTTCCAGCTCTCTGGAGAGCTGCCTATAGCCTACCACAGAGTGGATAAAAACCCGCATAAAAAGACCACCCAAGGGACTGGGAAAGTGGTCCCTAGAGGGAAGAAAGAGGCATTTTGTTTAGAAAGGCTGAAGCACAGACAATTACCCAAAGCAGGAAAAAAAAAAAAAAAAAAAAAAAAAAAAGGCATGAAATTTCCTGCTCAGCTTTCCTCTCTGAGAGCCCTGACAGGAGCACTGGCCAGCAGTGTGCTGTGCCACAGGCAGCAGAGCTGCCAGCACAGGAGAAGGTAGCAGGGAGCACACGTGCACACACATGCATGCACCAGCATGCATCCTTACAGAAAAACTGGCAGCACCTCAGGCACGGGAGACACTTCACTGCCCTTCCCCTTACAGAGACCCCAGTTTATTGCTCACTAACTCTGCAGAGCAAATGGCTCGAGTCCCACAGCTGATCT